TTCCTGGGATTCATCATTGAACAGGGAAGACTCCGCGCCGACCAAAATCACTGCCGTCACCAATTGGCCTGCCCCCACCTGTATGAAGGACCTGCAACGCTTCCTGGGCTTTGCAAACTTCTACCGCCGCTTCATCAAGAATTACAGCACTATTGTAGCCCCCCTCACACAGCTTACATCCACTAAGGTGAAGTTTGCATGGTCCAGGACAGCGGAGCAAGCCTTCCAAACCCTCAAAGACTGGTTCACCACAGCCCCCGTACTCCTCCAACCTGATCCCTCATGGCAGTTCGTGGTGGAGGTGGACGCGTCTGACACTGAGGTGAGAGCGGTCCTTTCTCAGTGGTCTGGAAAAGACCATGCCTTGCACCCCTGTGCCTACTACTCCCGACAGTTGACCCCGGCCGAACGCAACTATGACGTGGGGAACAAGGAACTCCTGGCCGTTAAGCTGGCCCTTGAGGAGTGGCGGCAGCTCCTCGAGGGTGCTGACCAACCATTTTTAGTCTGGACCATCACAAAAACTTGGCCTACCTCCAGTCTGCCAAAAGACTCAACCCGAGACAAGCGAGGTGGGCCTTGTTCTTTGATCGGTTCCGGTTCACCCTCTCTTATTGGCCGGGGTCCCGCAACCAGAAACCAGACGCCCTCTCCCAACATTACAACCTCCCAGCCCCTGAGCCCATTCTGCCCACCTCCTTTATGGTGGCCTCTATTACGTGGAAGATCGAGGACACCATACGGGAGGCACAACAACAGGAACCCGATCCAGGGGGTGGACCACCAGATAAATTATGTCTCCCTGGCTGCCAGGAGAGAAAGACGCCAGGGAGTATGTTGCTGCCTGTGCTCCCTGTGCACAAGCCAAGCCACTCCATCAGTCCCCTGCTGGTCTTCTTCGGCCGCTGACTACATCCAGTCGGCCCTGGTCTTATATCGCCCTAGACTTTATCACCGGCCTTCCTCCCTCCCAGGGCAATACTGTCATACTCACCATCGTCGACTGTTTTTCCAAAGCCGCCCATTTCCTCGCCCTTTCACAACTCCCCACTGCTCTAGAAACTGCCCAGCTCCTGGTTCAGCATGTTTTTTGTATTCACGGCACCCCCATCACTCTTGTTTCTGGCCGCGGTCCACAGTTCACCTCCCATATTTGGTCTTCTTTTTGCACTGCCCTCGGAGCACGTCCCTGCCTTTCCTCCGGTTATCACCCCCAAATGAACGGCCAAGCTGAACGGCTGAACCAGGAGCTGGAGAATGCTCTCCGTTGTGTCACCAGTTCCTCACCAGAGGACTGGAGCCAGTTGTTGCCCTGGGTGGAATACGCACACAATACTCTCTCTAGCTCTGCCACCGGTATCTCTCCCTTCCAGGCGTCCCTAGGCTACCAGCCTCCCCTACTTTCCTCTGCCGAAACCAACATTGCTATCCCTTCAGTCCATGCTCATGTCACCCGCTGTCAGGCTGTCTGGGCGGAGACCCACTCTTACGCACGGCGGACTAAAATAAACATTATTACAAATTATGAGAATTCACAGCTACAGGACTTTGCTGTTATTTTAATTTTGTCATTTAATTTCACCCTATATTATTGTAATTTTATGACCATTTCCATGTATGCTGGAAATACAGTAAAACTATGATTTTTTTTTTAATGTAATTTAATTGAAATTTTTTACAGTGTAGGTATGACTTGTGCAGGATGCCATTGTAACAACACAGACTGGCTGAATGGTTTAATGGCATCTTGTTAAAAGCATTCAGTTTTGTTAAGTGTGCCTCAGAATATATGAAAATTAAAGAAAAAAATAACACATAAAAAGTACTGTTATTGGTGTTCATGCCATTGTTGCAGCCATATGTTCCCACTGTGAAAACAAACAGACAAACAAACCCTGTATGTTCAAGCAGTATGCACATTTTATGAGCTCCATTACAAAGGTTGTGCTAACATAAACAGGTCATAAAACAGGAGATATCATCCTTGGGGCATATGTCACAATTGGATTCCTGTTCTTCTCAGGATGGACACATGCTTATTGTGCTAAACACACCCCTGCTCTTTTTAGCATCAACACCCTTTCAGTGATTTTCCTTTTCTTGCCTTTGGGAGGTGTGTATGTGTATATGTGCACAGGGAGGTGGCCTTCAAATATCCACAGCTGCTCTTAGGTGAGGTCAAGGTGTGAGGTCTGTTTGGATCTTATAGCATAGGTGAACAACTAGCGTCAGTGAAAATAAAATGTAATAAGTGGCAGAGTAGCTTTTATCAAGCAACAGAGAGCAGCAGAGAGTGAGAGGGGCAGATGGTGACAGGCAGGGAAATGAAGCTTGAGGTAGCTGCTGAGATGGAACAGGAGATGTCTCAGTCAGATAGATAGCGGGAAGCTAAGAGCAGTGTCACTGAGCACCCTGCAGAGACTGTCGGCGATGTGAAACGTAAATTATAAGACAGACAGACACATTTGCTACACCGTATATGCTTCAGCAACTTTGTGCTGAAGGGGAGCACATAAATATTTTCACCAGTAAGATGTTTTTAGATGTGAGGTATCAAATTTAGTGAGAGTGAAACACATTTATAAAAGAGA